GAAAACATTCAGCCTTTGGTTTTTTGGGATTGGTTTATTTCACTTAGCATGATATTCTCCAGCTCCATCAATTCACCTGTAAATGCCATTATTTCACTCTTCTTTAAGGCTGTGTAATATTCCACTGTGTATATATACCACAGTTTCTTTATCCATTCATTTGTTGAAGGGCACCTAGGTTGGTTCCATAGTTTAGCTCTTGTGAGTTGAACTGCTATACATTGATGTGGCTGCGTCACTGTAATATGATGATTTTAAGTCCTTTGGGTATAAACCAAGAAGTGAGATAGCTGGTCAAATGGTGATTCCATTCCAAGTTTTATGAGGAATTCTGTTGGAGGAGATTTTAATGGCAGGAATAAAGATGAATCAATAATGTAGTTCTCCCCATGGAGATAAGGTCAAGGTCTGCACTGAAATAAACCCTTAAGACAAGGGAATCTTTATCTGGGGCCCATAGACCTCCCATGATCAGGCAGGTTCTGCTAACAGGCTTTAAGGGATTCATGAGCTCTGTGAAATTACACACAGACTTTTTTGGTATGTGTATTTTCCCTGGTGAAAAGACCCTTAGCTTTTATCCTCAAGTGACCCAAAAAGGTTATCTTCAGAGGCTTTTTTGGAACATTTGAGGTATCAAGCACATGAAGACACAAAGAATTCATTTCTTATATTCTTTAAAAAAAATTTTTTTTTTTTTTTGTATTTGTAGACGGCCAGCATGCCTTTATTTTATTTATTTTTGTGTGCGGTGCTAAGGATCAAATCCAGTGCCTCACACATGCTAGGCAAGTGTTCTGTCACTGAGCCCCAGCCCCAGCCCCAGCACAATAATTCATTTCTTTAAACTCAGACTTTGCTTATTTTCAGGCAGCATGAGGGAACCCTCAGCACAGGCCTGATGACTTTTCAAGCCTAAGAATCAGATCCTGATTCAGGTATCAAGATCAATAAGGTTGGAATGATTATTCCTGAACCTTCCACACTGTTTTAGAACCAAGTAGTCTTGATGCTACAGCCTGAGAAAGATGGTCCATGCCCATCCACAGATAGATACAGCTCACTGATGAATGACACTAGTTCCTAAATAAATCACAATCGTATAAAATTAGACCATGATGGGCTAGTCTATAAAAAGATTGACTTTTCAGTGTCAGGCGAGTTTAGAAGCAATTGTTATTTTTTACTCTAAACCAGTGGCCCTTTACTTGGAAACAAAGATCCAATGATGACCGTGTAAAATACAAGCCAAGACCTGCTGTCTTCCTGAGTCCCCATGAGAAAGAAGGGGGACAGGATCCCTAGGGAAAGTGAGGGCCACAGAAGTTATAAATTCTTAGATCCTCAAGGTGGATTCTGAGAGCAATGATATATCTGTGGTGGTTTGCAGCAAGGCAGAGAAAGATGTTAAAATTCTTTTTTTCTACATGAAGAACCCAGAGTAATTTGAGTTCCTCATTATCTAGCTTCTGTTGGGGTGGGACATCTCTACTGAGCGTCAGAGAGGCTGGGCTGCCCAGGAAGCAAAGACCCACCACCAATTCTTTTTTTGGTGGTTCTTGTTATTATTTTTGTTGGTTAGTTTGTTTTTTGGTGCTGAGGATGGGGCCCACGACCTCCTCATGCATCCTAAGCACATGATCTACCACTGACCTATATCCAGTCCTATTTCTTTAAGGCTCACAGGCTGGAGTTTACTTTAGGGAACAGTCTAGTTAACCCAAAAAGAGTCTCGTTTTAAGGTGCCATTTGCTTGGGGGAACCCCTATGCCCAGAAAAGATATGATCCTAATGGTCCTTAACAGTATACACAGGACCAACACCAAGGAGGATTTCTTCTAAGAAGGCAAGGATACTTTAACCTTAGAAGAGCTGCTAATGAAAAATACTACAACAGGTTAAAATAAGCCAGCTGTGGTGGTACACGCCTGTATGCCTGATGACTCTGGAGGCTGAGGCAGGAGGATTGCAAATTCAAGGCTAGTCTCAGCAACTTAGACATCATCGTTGTCATCATCATGATCATCATCATAATATAGTCACACAATCCTGATTCAAGTTTTGGTCAAAAAGTTGTGGAAGAATATTTTCTTAACATGTTAAAGAATATCTATCTCAAACCAATGACTAATATTAGATTTGCTGGTGAGATCGTTGAGATATGTGCATTATAGTCAGGTAGGAAGATAAAGATGCTGGCTACTAAACACTGTTCTGGAAGTTCCAGCCATTATAGTTCTTTAAAAAAAGGAAATAAATGGTGTGACCATTGAAAAGAAAAAGTAGAGGTATCTTTACTTAGAAATAGCAAGACTTTCTATTCAGATAAAAAAACTGCTTTGAAGTCAGAGTATAAATTTTTAAAATGGGCTGTTTCTACAACCCCACCTTCCCATTTATGACCCAGATCACACTGCTTTGCCCATTCACGGACTTTGTTCTTTCCATTCTCTTTCTCTTCAATTTTATTCTCTCTCTCTCCTAGATTATCCCAGTCAACACATGTTATCCTACCTTTAAAATATCCTCTCAGCAGGTGTGGCAGTGGATGCCTATAATCCCAGCCTTCAGGAGGCTGAGGCTGAGGCAGGATCAATCGCAAGTTCAAGGCCAGCCTCAAATTGGAAAACTAGGGCTGGGGTTGTAGCTCAGTGGAAGAACACTTTCCTAGCATGTGTGAGGCACTGAATTCAAGTCTGAGCACCACATATAAATACATAAAATAAAGGTCCATTGACAATTTTTAAAAATTTTTTTTAAAAATTGGAAAACTGGGGCTGGGGATGTGGCTCAAGCGGTAGTGCGCTCGCCTGGCATGGTGCGACCCGGGTTCGATCCTCAGCACCACATACCAACAAAGATGTTGTGTCCGCCAAGAACTAAAAAATAAATAAAAAAAATTCTCTCTCTCTCTCTCTCTCTCTCTCTCTCTCTCTCTCTCTCTCTCTCTCCTTCCTCTCTCACTCTCTCTTAAAAAAAAAAATTGGAAAACTGGGGCTGGGATTGTGGCTCAGTGGTAGAGTGCTCACCTCGCAAGTGAGAGATCCTGGGTTCGATCCTCAACACCACATTAAAAAAAAAAATAAAAATAAAGATATTGTGTCCATGTATAACTAAAAGATTTTTAAAAATAAGAATAAAAATTGGAAAACTATTGTCAGTGATAATGTTGGTGAGGGTACTAGGAAGTAGGCTGTCTCATTGGCTACTGGTGGAAATGTAAAATGTCTAAACTTTCCTAAATGGTGAATCATGGTCATTTTTTACTTTTGTTTTTGTGTTTTGCTGGCTTTCCCAGTTTTTTCCAGAAATTATTCCCCCTGACTCTCTCTCTCTCTCTCTCTCTCTCTCTCTCTCTCTCACACACACACACACACACACACACACACACACGCACGCGCACACACACACACACGAATTACTTTTTAAACCAAAAAAACAAAAACATCAGTCATTTTAACTTTCCTTTTCTCTCTTTTTCCCCCTTTCTTCCTTCTTTTCTTTTTTCCTCCCTACCTTCCTGGCTGGATACGTGCACAGCAAACTTAAGGAAGCTGATCCCAGGGGCAGGATGCTTGCTTGTTGTCCAATCTCTTCAGAATGTTAGCCCAGGATCAGGTTTCTCCGGAATGATGTAGTATCAGTCATTGAAACTGTCTCTGCAGAGGCTGTTTTGTGAACCCACCGGAAATGTGGGGCTGGGAAAAACAGGCAGCCGCAAGCAGGGCCCACCCAGTTTGAGGTGGGGTCCCACAACCTCTCCTGCCAAGATGTGGGTCTTTTACGGACAGGGAAGCCTAATGTTTCTTGGCACGCCTATAATCCCAGAGGCTAAGACAGAAGGATCACAACACTGAGGCCAGCCTGGGCAACTTAACCGAGACCCCATCTCAAAATTAAACTAAAAAGAACTGGTGGGGGGCTGGGGAGCTCAGTGGTAGAGCACTTGCCTAGCATGTGCAAGGCCCTGGGTTCAGTCACCCCCAGTACTCCGTTGGGGAGGGGGGACAATCATGGCCACATGTGCCTTTCCCTCTGCTGCCTGCAGTCTGCCTTCTGATGCCTGTTATCCTGTGTCACATCCGGGTCCTGTTCCTCCAGTGCCCAAGCAGTTAACCTCCTATCTTCCTTCATTTTTTTCCTCTCTGGAGATGTGTTACCAGCCCAACATTTTTATTTAATGGTCTTGCTTTGGGGGCTTGGCAGTTAAGTTTCAGAATACCCAGGCCCACCTAGAACGGTTCTCACCCATGGCAGTGAGCAAACATGGGCCACACATATCTGGCTTCCCGCCTGGGCTGTTATGTTCAGGTTTTCTCAGCTTCATCCCTCCTAGACCCAGGGCTTCTGACAGTTTGCACAGCCAACGTGAACAGTCTGCCAGCAGCCCCAAGGTTGTTTGGAGTGGCAACTAGAGCTGTAGGTTGGGGCTGATATGGGATATCGCTGCCCTGTGTGTGGTAGGCCAAATGGCACACATCTGTAGCAGCAGGTCTGGTGAGGGGATGAGGGGATGAGGGGCATATTTGAACCACTTGCTCTTGTTGGAAAAGATGTCCCTCTCCCATGGGGCCAAGGGGACACCGCAGAATGGGAAAGCAGGGGATCGATTGGCTGCTGGTGGGTGGAGAAGCTTCGCTTCCTTGCTTAACCACCTGGTGGAGGTCTGATTGTGTCAAACACATGTCATCCATCTTCATGACCATGCGTTTCAGAAAATGTGCCTGTGGGAGAGCCAGGAGAGGAGAAGCCTGGTCCTCCATCATCCTCTGTCACAGCTTGAGCCTGGGAGGGGTCTGGGTTCTCCTGCTGTGTATCTACCACGCGGGAGCATGGGGATTGTAGTCAGTGTCCCTTTATGCCCAGCATCCTGCTTTAGCCCAGTTATTTCTTTATTTACACTTTAGTGATTTTCTCACTCATCTCCCGAGGGTCTCAAAAGAACTCTGCAATTAATCTGGCTTGGATTTAACTCCGACCTTTTATTTTTCTTTTTACAGCTTAAACTTTGGAACAAATACCGAATTTCCAACATTCCATCGCTAATATTCCTAGATGCCACCACTGGGAAGGTTGTGTGCAGAAATGGGCTCCTGGTGATCCGCGATGACCCAGAAGGTGAAGCTTCAGCCTGTCTATCCGCACTTATGACTCGACTCCCACTCCTTCCCCTGCCCTAGCCCCCTCCTCCTTGGTATAGAGAATGCTAGTAAATATGTGTAAGTGGCTAGAGAACATTGTCTTGATGAAATTATGGTATTTTGTAGGTCATAGTTAAGGTTTTTAAAGGGATAAGAATGTCCCTCTAGGGGACTTTAATTCATGGGCTGAAGGAGTTGGAATCTGGAAAAGAAAGTTCAGCTTTGAAGTCTAAGGAGGCTGTTGAAAAGCAGCAAAAACCAAGATACTGACCTCTTGTGCTATTTCTTTTCTTTTCTTCCCTTCCTTTCTCTTTTTTGCCACCCTGGGGATGTGCTCCACCACTGAGCTACCTTCTTGGTCATTTCTATTTTTTATTTTGAGACAGGGTCTCGCTAAGTTGCCCATGCCACCTTCTAACTTTTCACCCTCCTGTCTCAGCCTCCCAAGTAACTAGGATAACAGGCCTACACCACCACACCCGGCTTTCCAGTGCTTCTCTCAGCAGCAGCTGTTACCTTCACAATCAGAGGCAGACTAAAGGGGCCTTTCTCTCTCCCAATTTTTTTTTTTTTTTGGTAGATGGACACAATACCTTTATTTTATTTATTTACTTTTATGTGTGGTGCTGAGGATTGAACCCAGTGCCTTGCACGTGCTAGCTCTACCGCTGAGCCACAACCTCAGCCCCTCTCTCTCACACAATTTAAAGATAGATTGAGTATCCCTCATCTGAAATGCTTGGGAGCAGAAATGTTTCAGATTTCAGAATTTTTTATATTTTGAAATATTTGCACAGACTTTACCAGTTGAATATTCTTAGTCCAACACTCTGAAATACTCTGGAATCTTAAAACTTTTTGAGCACTAAAATGACTCTCCGGACAAGGTGGCGCATGCCTATAATCCCAGCAGCTCTGGAGGCTGAGGCAGGAGGGTCGAGAGTTCAAAGCCAGCCTCAGCAACATAGCAAGGCCCTAAGCAACTCGGTGGGACCATCTTTGAATAAAACACCAAAAAGGGCTGGGGATGTGGCTCAATGGTTAAGCACCCCTGGATTCAATCCCTAGTACCAAAAAAAAAAAAAAAAAAGGACTCAGTTTAAAATTTCAGGTTAGGGATGCTCAACCTTTCTCACCATGGTTTCATTGCTATCTGTGTTGCAGTGAAGATTTAAACACACTTGCACGTACACATATACATGCACACATACACCCCAAAGATTGGAATCAAGAGGTTTTTTTGTTTTGTTTTTGGTTTTATTTTGGTTAGAAGGGTTGAACCCAGGAGCACTTAGACACTGAGCCACATCCTTGGAGGGGGGGGGGTGCTAAATTGTTGAGGCTGGCCTTGAATTTGCAATCCTCCTCCCTCAGCCTCCAGAGTCACTGGGAATATAGGCATGCACCACCAAGCCTGGCTCCCCAGAGATTTTCATTTTATTTCAGGGTGGGCTTGGCCACCTGCATTTTTTAAAACTGGTCTATACTTCTCCCTCTAGTCCTGGATCCCTCAGGCAATTTTGAGGCAGTGGGCCACAGACCACCCTGTAAGAACATATTTTTCTATAGAATTGAGAGCATATTATTTACTCTTCCACCGGGACCTTAAGTGTTATCAGAATGTTGACCATCTGGGTTGGGTGGGTTATAATCTTTCCTTTTATTAGACTTAAATTCTCACTTGGTTCCTTTAGCTCCAACCCAGACCAATATAATCAGATTCTCTGGGGATGGGGCCCCGGAGCATTATATTTTTAAATTCCCCAGTAGATTTTAACATGTGGTCAGCATTGAGAATGCCTGAGATGCTAGGATTTAGATTGCATCAATTTGTGGTTAACGCCTAAGGCAGGGATTCGCAGCCCTGCCCCACCATCAGAATTACCTGGGGAGTCTGCTCAGTTTTGTCCTGAGCCTTGCTTCTGTATCCAGAGGTGGCCCCATGCAGGCTTGGGAGCTGTTGCCCCACAGGTAGTGGATGAGTTCTTTTGTTTCCTGTGAGTTGCATATCCCATGGCTGTGTTAACAGATAGCATTTGATGGTGAAGTTGTCCTGCCTGCAGCTCAATGGCTCCTGGGCCCCTCACCATAAGGAGGAGTCTTAACATTGCCATCTGTTGCTTTTTCAGGTCTGGAATTCCCGTGGGGACCTAAGCCCTTCAGGGAAGTCATCGCAGGGCCCTTACTTAGAAATAATGGGCAGTCCCTGGAGAGCAGCAGCCTGGAGGGGTCTCACGTGGGAGTCTATTTCTCCGCACACTGGGTGAGTGGTTGGTCCCCCCCTAAGTCCAGACAAATAGGAGCGCTGATGTCACCACTGAGCTTAGCTGTGGTTGGCATCTGGGGGTGTCTGCTCTGGCAGGAAATCTCTGGCCTTCTTGTCTTCTCCTGCTCCTGATGCAGTGTTGGCATGCAATTAGTGCTTAAAGTTGTAAATGATAATAGCAGCAAGAAACTAACTTTAAAAAAAATTTTTTTTTCAGTGCTGGCTATAGAACCCATGGCCTTGTGCGAGCTAGGTAAACACTTTACCACTGAGCTAAATCCCTAGCCCCCATAATGACTTCTTTTGATTGATCTGAAAGAATATTCTCCTTAACCCATTCACATGAGCCTTTAAGGGTTTCCAAGGGGACTGTTCTAACCACTGCCTGCTGGCTCACTACGGAGCAGGGGGCCCTTGTGTGCTGAATGTTGGTTCATGAAGAGGAGCAAGCTCAGTTCCACTTCTTTTGTGTCCCAATCCTCCTCTGATGGCACAGCAAGGTCCTGCTCTTTTCTTTCAGTGCCCACCCTGCCGAAGCCTCACACGGGTGCTGGTGGAATCCTACCGGAAGATTAAGGAGGCCGGCCAGAAATTTGAGATCATCTTCGTTAGCGCAGACAGGTGAGGCATGCCTGTGCAGGGTGGTGCTGCTTCCCTTTCCTGAGGTGGTTAGTATCCATTTCTTTCACCTTACACTTCTTACTTCCTTGCTGTAGGAGTGGAGGCAGCACTTGGGGAAGGCATATCTGGCACTTTTGGCAGAGGGCCAGATAGATACATTTCACATTTGCTCCTATAATTGTCTGAAGGGAACCGAGAAAAACCTCTTCTTGCTGTGAACACTGGGGCACATCCCAATCCAGACCTGGGCCATTTGGGATTTGGATTTGTTTTCCAATTTGTTCAAACAGCTTTCTAGATTGTGAGGAAAAGATACAGAGTGGGGAGGATGGAAGAGAGCCAGCGCCTGATGGGATGTGACGGCTGTCTTGGTGCACATGCAGTCATTTTCTTAGCCCCGGTTATGCACTCTGTCTGGGGGCTGTTTGAATCACAAAAGCAAGAAAGACAGAGCAAGTTCAGGTCCTTTTAGCCTCAATTTCCTCTGCTTCTCTTTCCCATGTCTCGCATCACCAAGCTTCCTTCAACTCAGAATTCCAGCCCTGTTCAGCCTGGGTCCCCAGGCACTTCTGTCTCTCAGGATGGCACGCGGAAGGCCTTTTGCACATTGTTATGTAACTTGGCACCGCACTATCCCATGCTTGTCCTAATGGCCCACGGTTCCTCTCCACAGCTCCCTGTCTCAATGCGTAGAGTGGGGGCAAGCCTAAAGGCATGTCAGGCGGAGCAGTCCCTTTTTATTTATTTATTTTTTTTAAAAGAGAGAGTGAGAGAGGAGAGAGAGAGAGAGAGAGAATTTTTAATATTTATTTTTTTAGTTCTCGGCGGACACAACATCTTTGTTGGTATGTGGTGCTGAGGATCGAACCCGGGCCGCACGCATGCCAGGCATGGCGCGCTACCGCTTGAGCCACATCCCCAGCCCGAGCAGTCCCTTTTTAAAAAACTTTAAGCAACAATACTTTTATTGAAGTATAGTTTCTACACAATAAAATGAATACCTTTAAGGTACACAATTCAGTGAGTTTTGCCAAATATATTTACCTATATAATCGCATCGTCAAAGTTAAGATACAGAATGTCTCCATCACTCAAAAGATTCCTTTGTGGCTCTTATCAATCAGTCCTCATCCCCAAATTCCAGCTCCAGGAAACCTCGGATGTACCCACTATCACTTGAGTAGTTTTGTCTTCCCTAGAATTTCTTAAACGTGGACTCACAGGTGTATGCTTTGTTTTAAATTGTGGTCTTGTACACATCACGGTTCCCTATGCAGAGTAGAAATATCACAGGGAATACAATAGCTGTGTATGTCTGAGCTCCCTGGAATAGTAAGACCTGTCTGGATTGAAAATGAACATCTAGGCATGAGCATAATTGGTAGGATACGAGCAAGGGGGATGTTGCAGTGGCCAGGATGGCGCTTCAGTTTGTGCTGTGTGGAGGCATTTGCTTCTTGGTGAACACAGAATGGGTAAAACCAGACATTCCCATTGCCTGGTGTCCAAGCAGCATGATGTCATGAACCCCAGCCCTATAGGGGCTTCAGGCACAACTCTGTAATGGGTGGGGAGGACTGAATGGAGGTGTATTCTGGATAATAGGACCTTGTTCTCCATGGGTGTCTCTCTGCAGGTCAGAAGAATCATTCAAACAGTACTTCAGTGAGATGCCCTGGCTTGCTGTCCCCTACACTGATGAGGCCCGGAGGTCGCGCCTGAACCGGCTATATGGAATCCAAGGTAGGCATCCCAGGCCCCGACTCCATGTGGCTCCTTAGATGGCAACCAAGGCCCATTGGCCCTCTAAGTTCACCACATCCCTTTCCTTTTTTTTTTTAAGATTTTTTTTAACAATGCCTTTATTCCATTTATTTATTTTTATATGGTTCTGAGGATCAAACCCAGGGACTCACATATGCTAGGCAAGTGTTCTACCACTGAGCTACAGCCCCAGCGCACATCCTTTTCCCTTTAGCAGAAAACAAACCTTTATTTCCAGGAATGTTCATATTCTTCGCCATCTTAAAAATTACTTGGTGTGGATTTAAGTACTTGTCCTGGTGAGACAGTTACTTCTCACTTTCTGACATAGTGGCTTCAAACATAGGTGGGCCGCGGAACACATGCTCCCAAATGACAAGGCCAAAACAATGAGGTTTTACTGTCAAACAGACTAGTGTGTGACAGAGAGCGACCTTTAGTTCTTGAGCTTCAGTTTCCTCTTCTGAAAAGTGGGAATGATAAATTGTTTAGAGCATGAATATGTAATATACATAAAGCGCTTCTCACAATTCCTGAAGCATCATGGTGGGGCTGAGTGGTGGGTAATAACCTTTTGGGTAAGGAAATTGCTTGAGAGTGTCTAGAACCAGGACTTCAGGTACTAATCATAGTGATTTTCAGAAATAATGATTATTTGCCAGGTATGGTGGCACGTGCTGGTAATCCAGTAACTTGGGAGGCTGAGACAGGAGCCAGCCTCTGCAATTTAGCAAGACCCTTTCTCACAATAAAAACTGAAAGGACTGTGGCTCAGTGGTTAAGCACCTCTGAATTTAATTCATGGTGTCCACCCCCGCCCCCCCAAAAAAGACTGTGAGAGAAACAAACTGTATTTCTATTCTTTATTATACTAACAACTCCTTCTCATTCTTCAGCAGAACGAATATACTTCGTTCAGTACTTTACTTTTTCTTAGTGAAGTACTTACTTGGCAAGTGTAAGAATTAAACTAGGAGTTGGTTGTGTTGCTCAGTGGCAGAAAGCTTGTCTAGCATGTTTCAGGCCCTAGGTTCCATTCCCATCACCCATCCCAAAATTACATGGGGGTTGTGCTTTGTTCTTTATGCCTGCAGGATTCAGTTCTTCACCCTCAAAGTGACTCTGCAATTTTCCTAAAATGGAGATGTGACAGTCTTTTTTTAACTGCACAGCCAGCACATTCCACGTGGCTGAGCCTCAGCCTCTATTCTGGCTTGTGACTTGAAGTGCTCCTTCCCTGGCTACAGTGAGACTCACCAGTAGGTTGGGTATGACCCAAATCTTTCCTAAGTGTTACCAAGACTTTGTTGTCTCCTAGAGCCTTATCCAAGAGCACCTGTGCCCTGCCTCTTCTGCTAACCATGGATTTTCCATCTTGGCCTTTCAGTAATAATGGGACAACCCTGGGATTTTTCAAATCCCCATTGCCTGTACATACCAGCAGGTATCTCCCATGTGTGGCCTCCTCTGACTCCCTAACAGAGGCTCCTCAACCACAATCTGGCCTCTGTTCTTCCCCTTCCAGCTATGTGTGTGGGTGTGTGTACTAGTAGGCAAAAAATATGATTCTGTGATGTGGTTGAGCCTTGGAATATACTCTCCCAGAGGCATCTCAAAGATAGGCCAAGATTGTCAATTTTCCTTCTCCTGCCAGGTGTGGGCACTCTGGATCTTCTCCTAGGATATTGTTTTCTGTCTTATTTCTTCCCACATTTATTACCACCACCTTATTGTAGGCCACCAACATCCCAGCCCCACTACAATGACTTTGATCAGGTTACTTAACCTCTCTTTGTTCAGTAAAATAGGAATATTTCAGTGTGGGGCAAAAGGTAAGCACATTACAAATATTTGTTGGCTAACACAGAGAGGAATAGAAGGAAAATTTTTATTTTATCACCTAAAGAAGATAAACTTTAGAATATAATAATGTTGAAACAAAGGCAACCAACAATATTAGTAACATGTATGGCAAAGAATCCATATTCTTTCATAAAGGAAGCGCTTTCTCCAGATACCAGTTTTAAAAGACAGACAATTTAGTAGAAAATATAAGATATGAAGCAGACAACTTACCCTATATACATTGTCAGTATGGATGTGAAAAATATTCAGCATAATTTCATGATTTACAGATGAGAACACTAAATTTGCATCTATCACATTTGCAAAGAACCACCCCCTAAAAATGATAATCTAATCCCAGTGTAGGGAAAGATAGCAGATGGCTAGTAGGGATATAAATCAAGAGATTTATAGGGATATAAATTTGGAGAGCAATTTGGCAATATATATCAACAGCCTTGAAAATGACTTGTACCCTTAAGTTACTTTTTTAAAGCAGTTTGATAGCCTTAATTTATAAATCCCACTTATAGGAATTTATTCTCAAGAAATTATCCTAGAGCACCCAGTAAAAGCTAAGCTTAAGCAGGTGGTAGTTTTGGTTTTATTCTGTTTCATTTGGGTTTTTGGTACTGGGGATTGGCATTTGAACCCAGGGTCTTGGGCATGCTAAAAACACTCTCTACCTCTAAACTACACTCCAGCCCCAGGTTTTGGGATTTATTTATTTACTTAGTTACTTACTTACTTATTTTAAGATCTTTTGTATACTTCAAATTTCATTATGGGCCACAATTCTTTTTTGCGCTAGACCCTAGAAACTCAGCTGAACTCTCCCTCTGATTCTCAGTGGTCAGCGTGCACATATTGTGGACATAGGAGCCATGGTTGTTAGGGGTGGCTCAGATAGCCAGGAAGCAGGTGGCCACAGTGGAGGAGGAAGAGAATACAGGGATGAATTTCAGAGGCTCATTCATTTGGTGCAGTCTTAGGCCCTGGCAGCGTAAGGATGAGAAGTACATACGTGGTCCAAGACTACAAGGAACCCTTAGGTAAGGATCACAAAGCTGATCTGGAAAGACCTGGTCCTTAGGCAAGCAGCAGCCAGACAGCTACACTGAAAGAATGTCAGATTCCTCTGGAACCCAGCTCCAGCCATGAGTGTTCTTTGCAGCCCAGCCTCATATTGGACCCTTCCTTTTTCTGGTCTGCCGACTCTATGATGTCCATCCCCTGCCATCTGTGATAATCTCTCTTCAGCTTGGAAATATCTACTTTTCCAACTCCCCACCTCCTAATTCCTCATTCTCTGGCTTCTAACTTCTCCCTGGCACAGTGTTGCCTGCCCCTTGTTTCCTCACGGCAGCATTTAATAGAATAAGGTTCAGAGGAAACCCTGGCTTTAGAGCTACTAATCCAGGAAGACTTCCCGGACAGGGTAGTTATAGAGCAGGGCCTTATAGAATAGGTGGGGTTAGATGAAGGGTTTGGGACATTAGAGACAAAGGTCAAAATAAACCTTTGGACAAATATTTGTAATGTGCTTACTTTTTGCCCCACACTGATACCTCAGGAAAGCCTGAGGTTTGCTGTTGGGGCAGAGCAGAGATAAGGCTGATGAGGCCGTATCACAGAAATATCACAGAAAGCCTGAGGCATCCTTGGACTTGACCATTTTGACATTTATAGACTGGAAGAGAAATCTCATAGTCAGGTCATCCACTGATAATTCTGATGGACACACTGGAGCTCAGGGCTCTGCTGCCAGGTTGTCTAGCCTCACACAGTCCTGCCCTATGGAGAGGGGAGGAGGCCATACTCCCTGCTTCTGCTCCTCGCAGCCTCACATTGTCACCTACATAAGGGCATGTGAGATGGGACAGGTGGGAGTCTGTCATCCATGAGGCTTACGCAGCTGGTTTCCCAGTGAAGCACAGGTTGTCATTAAGTTCTTGTGCAGTGTTTCACATTGATCTTACCATTCAGAAGCCTTCTTCTCACAAGTACAAGTTCAGGCAAGCTTTCATCCCACTAGTCACCAAAGCAGCCTGAAGTGGGCCGCAGGGCTGCTGAGAACGTGCCTCTACAGCCCTGCACAGGCTGGACCGGGGTCCAGGGATGCAGAGCAGCCAGCTGGAAACTTACCTGTGACCACCAACAGAGGTCCCATAGCCATCACATCCTTCCCCTCGATCTTTTCCCTTCTTTCTCTTCTAGCCCCTTTCCTCAGCAGACCTGTATTAGTGGCAGTATGGGTAGCTCTCCTGAATTCCCCGAGTGTCCCCCTGTGCCATGAAACTTTCCTGTAACTTCATCAGGTTCCATGTCTCTGAACAGCCCTACCCCCTCTCCTCATTCGCAGTCTCATCCTTACTCTCCAAGCCTCCACCTTTGTTCTAGTTTCTTGCTCTTCGTCTCTTCCATTTTTTCTCCCCACCCCGCTTGTATAGTGCTAGAGATTGAACCCAGGGCCTCACACATGTAGGTAGGTCCTCTGCTACTGAGCCACACTCAAGCCCCTCCTCCAGCTCCTTTTCACCTCATGATATACTCGGATCTATCTTAGCCATAAAACAAAACAAAACAACAACAATCATCACCCACTAAGCGACTAGCTCAGTCTGCTAGGGCTGCTAGGACAAAAGACCACACACTGGGCAGCTTAAACAAGACTTTATTTCTCACAGTCTTGAGGCTGGAGAACCAAGATAAGATGATGGTAGATTTGTGTCCTGGTGAGAGTTTTCTTCCTGCCTTGCAGATAGCCAGCTTCTCCCTGTGTCCTTATGGCAGAAGAGAGCTTTGATGTCTCTTCTCCTCACAAGGGACCAGCCCTATCAGTCAGGACTCCACTTCCCTTCCGCCCCCTTGATTTTGGGTTTTGCTGTGTTGCTCAGGCTGGTTTTGCACTCCTGGGCTCAAGTAACCTTACTGGCTCAGCCTCCTAAGTAGCTGGCTGGGATGAAGGCACTTGTCACTCCACCTGGCTTTTGAATTTTTAATTATATGTATATATTTAGGAAATTATAGTAGCTTCTTGTTAGGGATCTGTTGAACCCATTTACAAACTTCGAGTTTACTCCTTTACACATTTCTAACTGATTTATATACTTAAATCTCTTAAAAATATTTAA